CGTGAAATCACATTTAGTCGCAGAACTTCCATTGGCTCTTTCCTGGGATTGTGCTCTCATGCTAATTTGACCAGTTTAGTAAATTCAGACCAACATCCCCATTCACCTGCTACATTGAGCAATATAGTAATCAGACACGCAATTACGCAATAGTAACCACCTAGTAACAAAATAAATAAATACTGGACATACATAAAACACTTTTTAAAAAAAAAGTTGTTTGTATTTTCTTCAACACATTTTCTGTATAAAAACATAGTAATTTTTGAAACAATACTTGATCAAACGGTGTCTCTTTGATTGGAACTGATCATGTGGAATCTATTAATTTTCCAATTAAGTGCCACGCTCAGTCTGCCTTTTGATGCAAATGTGATGGTATTTACATTGTTCCCTCAATTTGCATTTATAGTGCTTCTCAGCCTGGATATACAAACATGTTTAGCACTTAGTTTAACTATTAGTTGACCAGCCATTCAAGCAGGTAAAAGGAACATGGCCTGCTGGCACGTAAAGACAGATAAGAAACCGCAATGATAAGGATAATAATTGGATTTTTTTGTGGAATATGCAGTAATTGGACATTGAGGGAGAGAATATTAATCTGATTGTTATTTTCTATGTGACCTGATTAGGCAGAAATGGACTGTGGAGTAGTGCTGATTGTACCGTGTCCTTCCCTTGCGTCTTTATTTAAATTCATGGCAGTGGAAAACCTTTTCCTCAGGCGCTTACCTCTCTCCATTTCAAAGATCCTTCACAAAGATTTGATGTGCCTTTGTTGGGAGGGGGGGGGGCATAACACTTTACATTTCCTAACATAACACTGGGCGACACCAGCAGTGGAGGAATCATAAAGAATACCAATAATACAACGCTGGCGAGCTGTGCGAAACGAATCAAACGTACACGCACCCTTCAAACTGGAATCATGGAGGAATATCCGGTAATGTCCACTTTGCAGGGCACTTACAGTCAAATATAACAAACGTATGAAGCAATAAGAGAAACATACAAAATGTGCAGAGCGGGGGTACGCGAGGACTGGAAATGAGAACCGCTGTTCTAGACATGCCAAAAATTTGAGGCTACAGCACAGCAGCTCTTCTTCTTGGTTTTCTCTGACGCACTAACTCTGCAGCAGCTCTTCTTCTTCGTCGTCTCATCTGATGCGCTCACTCAACCAAGCGTTCTAACCACGACCTCGCCCCTCCCCACCCCCCAACCATTAGAATTTCTGTAGGCGGGAATACTTTGTAATTAAATTCTAATGAGCCACTTTGTGATATCACAAAGCCCGGAAACCAAACGCTGTAGTCCAAACGAGCCGTTTGCTGTAGTTCTTGAAAATGGATTTTTAAAAAACTAAATATCTCCCTTTGGAGTGGACTTTGAGATTTGTAACTTTCTAGATCTTTTTTATGCCCAAACATACACACTACACACTGACTAAAATTAAAAAAGTTGAAAAAGCATAATAGGACCCCTTTAATCCATACAATCATGAATTAACCTGCAATGTCTGGTGATGCTGCATATAAGTCATTTGGCAGTGATGTTTAGAACTTTAAAACCAGTGTGATTAAACTCGTAATTGCCCAATTTTACGAGAAAAGCTAATTCCTTTAATCAAGAATCAAGTCGACCATCAGATGTATCGTGTGATCTGAACTTCCTGCTGGGATATAAGCCTGCTGTTAAAGAAAAACATTTGAGACATAAAACGTCTAGCTGAACACTATATCTGCCTTTTAATTGGTGGTTCAGAGGGCCAGAAAAGAAACTCCCTTGAGAAACAGCAGCACTTCAAGAAGTTTATGTCTTTCTAGTGAAGATCTGACACTCAAAAACGTGAGACTCACACTGCAGCAGCCGTGCCATATTCAAATTCATTTGCATAATCACATAAGTAATTATCTTTCTGAATAAGACGAAAGCCAGTTCAGCATTAAGGACAGATGCTATCAGCTCATGCTACAGACAGATGTCTTAGATCAGTGTCGCAGACAGATGTCTTTCAGGAAAAGAGCGAAAGCCAGATTGGTGTTAGTTTTTTTCTTCTCATTATATAATTGACCCAGTGTTCCTTATGTGCGAGAAAACTCAATAAAATAAGAACGCAATTTAAAAGTCACTGAAAAGTCAGAAGTTTGTTCCTTTTATCATGCAGTCTAAACTCAGCCTTCATTTCTCGACTAGTTAGTGGAGAAAAAGCTTGAACAAATTACTTGGATGGAGAATAGATTTAAAGTGTGATTGCATTTCATCAAAAGATTGTGGGATTTCTGTGCTATTGATTTTTATTCAAACTCAGAGTTTAATTTTTGCAGTGGCGGCTCGTCGGGGGAGGCAGGGGAGGCACAGCTTCCCCATAATTTTGAGGTGAAAATGGGAAGAGGACGATTTAATGTTAATAAAATTCACAATTCATTTCAGTTCATTTCTCAGAATGTGTATTTTTTGCTTGTAATTTCACAGTTGTAATACCATATCGTGAAAGCGCCGCTTTTCTATCGCGAATGTGCTGAATCTGCTGATGTAATTACAACCGCTAATGATAGAGAAGGGGAGGGGGAGGCCGGGGGAGAGGATAGCTCTCGTGCCTCTGTTGGTAAAAAATATTAGTCAATCAGCATTGAGTGTTCACTTTCAGAGCTGAGGAGTGTTGAGAAAAGAAACCTAGCAAGGGAGGCTAGCTTCCCTTCTGATATCAACCAATCATCAAAGAGACGTAAATTACGTGATATTAGTTTGAACGTCTCCCGCTGCGCTGATAATGTACTTATGAGTAGCGATATTGAATATTTGATTGCCAACAGATTTACCAAGCTGTCATTCAAACAGTATAAATACACATTTAGGAAAAACAGCCTAAGCAGGATATAGGCTACAGCAGTCGGCTTAATTAAATGGCGCAACAGGCAGCTCTCTTTTAACACAGACTTTTAAGAAGGGATGGATGTTTGCTTCAAGTGATAGGCCAGGTCAGTGAAATTATATTATCTTGCTGTATGTATGTCGTTTTCTGACTAAAAGCAACCAAAAAGCCATTTTAAAGTGGTTAAGCAAATAATAATAATAATAATAATAATCGGCAGGGATCCCAGACCAATACAATTAGTAAACCAAACCATTCACACAGACGCATATTCAGCACATTTTTAGATGGACAAATATGACTGCTGCACTCGCGTCTCACAGAAGAGATGTATAGAAAGCCATGCAAAGTTAAAACATTTTAAACTTTTAGAAAACACGTCACAAATTTGTGGAGGTTTATTCCTTTTCACTGCGTCTCATATGTTTTTAAATGCAGTCTGTGTGAATGGCGCTTTGGCTCTTTGTATTAAGCAATGCATAAATACATGATGCTGTTTTGTTCATAATTGTTTATGCAATTTACGAAATTATATTTGCACGTTTTTATAGAGTTACTTGCTAATTACTTGCATTATTTTGCTCATTGCGCCCTCCTGTGGCCTTGGGAGACAATTAGACCTATACAATAAAGACCTATTTAATCTGCATATAAAACATTAGAAATTAGATATTTGTTTACTTTTTATTGTGTTTGATTGTTAAAACAAAAAATATTTGTTGTTTGTCTCAATAATTGTGTTAATTATAAATACAGTGGTTAAATTTAAATTTTTTTTATTCTATTGCTTTTTGGTTTAAAAAAGGTTATAAAAATGTCAATAATTATCGATACCGAACGATATGAAACATTATATCGTTGATAAAACTTTTTGCTATATTGCCCAGCCCTAGTCCCAAGTAAGGCTATAACTGAATATTGCTTGAATATGAATATTGCTTATTAATACTATAAAATAGTAAAGTGGACATTTCTGTGAATTTAACATCTCTTTTTGAATATAATCTCATGGGATTCATATTCATGGGATTTGTGATTCTTCCACAGGCAAGTTTTTTTTCCAGTAGGTTACAGAAAAAGGGGTAAAATGGGTCTAAATATATCTGTGAAAGGATGGAGAATAGAAATACTATGGCATCCCACAGAGTTTCTCTCTTTTTTTTCACACATTCTCTGGAATTTTAAATGAGCAATGTGGAGCACAATACACATTGCCTTAACCGAAACTGTCAGGTGACTGCCGAAGAGATAATGTGAATATCAGTCTTGTATTGCATTTATCATCTGATAAAACAATATTATGAAAAAATGATATTCATATACTGTAGATATTGCTCCTCCACTGAGCTATTAGTTTTATGCATTTGTAAAATAGGCCTCATTATAGTGTGGTCCAAAAAATACCAAGCTCTAATGAACAATTTACAGACCCACAGGAAATTGTGGCTTCCTATTGCAGGGGTGAAAATGTAAGAAAAAATATTTTTTTTGCCTTTAAATAAATAGTTTACTAAGTTAAATTTAAATTACTTTAAATTGCTTAAAATTAAGTTTGAAATGGAGGGGGGGGGGGGGGGGGGCGGGAGCATACATAAAAACTTAAATTTAAATTACTTTAAATTGCTTAAAATTAAGTGGGGGGGGGGGGGGGGGGGGGGTGCCTGCACTAACATCAAAACTAAAAAGCTATTTAAACTTTCTACTAGCAGATACATTGCAAGACTATGTTGCAAGAAATATTCATAAGAGATGCACTGGATGTGATGAGAGGAAACAGCAGTAGTAAATCCCTGTGGGTGATCTATTCCCAGCGCTGAATTGATGGCGGTAAAAGTGCATTTAAATTCCCAGTGCTCTAGCAGACAGGGAGGCTTGACACAGACATGAAGGGAGAGGAAATTGCAGAGAGGAGTTGGAATCATCCCCTCCCAGCTCCTGTGCCCTTGATCTTGATTGAAAATGCCAAAGGACAGCATTCAAAGTCATCAAGTAAGAACGGCTGCCCGTAAATGAATGTGAATGCACCCGCAGTCGGGCTTGTCACAATCATCAGCAAATGACCTCATTATAACCCAGACTGAATCTTGACGAAATTGCTCTGTCTCACACACGGTCCTTTTCTGTTCTGTTGTTTACATTTATGGATGTAGATTTGTGGCTTCGTTCCAGTTGATTTATTGTTTTGTTCTAGATTTAATATAAAATATTTCCTCTCACAGTGACAATGAATGTTACAATCGTTTACATAGGTTCATATTCAGGGCTCTACAGTTTTTACAACTAAACTTGACACAACATTAGATTACCAGGAGAGTCTGGAGAAACCAAAGTCGCCAAAAACACGCCACTATATAAGAAAATGGAATTTCTGATATATAGAAAGACCACAGAACAGATAACAAATGGCGAAAGAATCAGACATTCATGCAGTAGAGCAATCCGCCTGCGGCTCACGTTGTGAAATATCGCAAGTAAGGCCTAACTTTCAGAGCAGCTATGAGCAGATGAATAAAAGAACTTTAAATTGTTCTGTTTGTAATGGCATTGGATCATCAAGTCTTCATGTGTCATCAGTCACGGCGAGACAATGCTTGACTCAAACTGCAGTCAATGGTGAAGGCAATATATCTCATTAACTTTGGGAAAAGAACCATAAGCGAGTAGAAAATAACAGCATAAATTCAAACTGAATTGTCCTTCTTTCTTTTATCCTTTTAAGTCCATTAGGAGTCGTCTTCGGTTTTGATGACATGAAAAAGCGTGACGTTGAAAATGACCTGATGTCCATTGTTCCAAGCGTAAAGCGCCCGTTCTTGAGCGTTGTAGTCGAGCATGGAGATGTGAAAGTACTGGTTGTGGAATGGGATGTCCATGTACTCATACGTCGAGGTCTTTGTGTTGTACGAATAATACACCTTGGCTCCGGTCAGGTGGGAATTGGTGATGTAGAGCGTGCCACAGATCATGAAGGACTCGCCTGCATTCCTTTTGGAGTATTCCGTGTTCCACGTCTGGAGAACTTCTAGCGTCTGCGGTTCTAACTGAGAAATCACAATGTTTCCTGCGTTCTGGTTGGTGGCGTATACAGCCCACAAACCCAGCTCGTCTGCCATCAGGTCGATGTCCGAGAAGCCTCCCCAGGTGTAGGGGTAGACGTTGTGGAAGCCGGCGTACTCCAAAGCACGTTGGGCGAGAACCCGTCCGGTCTCGAAGCTGTATTTGACAATGATGTTGCTCTGCTCCTTGTTGTAGTATAGAGAGCCATTGTAGACAACATGGTTGGTTCCAGCCCATTTAAAGGGAAGGTAATAGGTTCTTGATTCCAGGCCGGAGATGAAGTCTGCGATGCTTTTGTACTCTCGAACCACCTTGCTGTTGGTGTAAGTGTCCATATACCAAACCTGTGGGAATATGACAGAGTGAGATTAAAGTATGTAGATGAGAGGCGCACTAAATTATTTTACACCTGGTGGAAAGTGGGTGTAAGTAATCCTGGGGAGGCATATTTCAGATTAATGTCAGAACATTCATCAGACTGAAGAACGTAGTGCCGCCCACTTCAGAACTCACCCGGTTATTTCTTGGAGATGCAAGAGGGTCGGTCATCCATGCGCCAAACCGCGTTCCAGATGTCTTAATAGTCACAGGGCCGGTGATTTTCATTAATTTCCCACATGCTGGAAAAAAAAAGAATATTCTTTATTTAAATATAATCATCTCCTATTTTTCAAACGGCTGTTTTCATAGAAGCAATTTCATGCTTTCTAAAGACTGTTGCTTTTGGTGCATGTGAAAAACAACAGCAACTCTTAATGATGTACTAGCTTAGTGCATCCAACCCCCAATGCTAGGATGTAATTATCAGAGATATTAATAACATATTGGAACATCTGTTGAATTTGCTTAACCAACTTATTAATACTGTAAGGCTTTTTAGCACTTCATCTTCAGAATCACAGGTGTTATTTGAGGACCGCTGAAAACACATTGTTATTTAATTGCAAAGAAATAATTAAACCTCCAATACAGAAAAACAGAGGTTGGAGGTAAATCTGTGATTTTTGTATTTTGCTTTGAGCAGGATATTTTATTCTTTAACTGAGACTCACTTTGTGTCTTTATTTTGCAGGCTGTACTGTAATGTACTTTAAGCAAAATGAATTTTGCTTATTAATGTACACTGACTGTGCTATAAATCAAGGGGAAAAGGAAAAACAGGATGTTTTTTCTTTTGGAAAAAGAAAAAGATTTTTACATCCAGTGCTGTTTACATATGATTTTTGTAAAAGATTCTGCAAAGATCCATTAAATTGATCACTAAGACACTAAAGAACCCTAAAAATATCAAGCAGCACAACTGTTTCCAACGTTTATTAACAATAGGAAATGTTTCTTAAGCAGCAAATCAGCATATTAGAATGATTTCCGAAGGATGATGTGACACTAAAGACTGCAGTAATGGTTGCTAATAATTCAGTTTTGCCATCACAGGAATAAATTACTTTTTAAAATAAAGTAAAACAGAAAACAGTTATTTTAAATTATAATAATATTTCATAATATTACTGCTTTTATAGTACTTTTGGTCAGCTAAATTTTAATAAAAGTTTTGAAACACTGTCACTACAGCCATAAACATTCAGACAGATGCCTTTGGCTGTTTTGACCCATCTCATCATTTTTGAGCATCCTGTCTTCCATGAATGTAGCATTTTAAAGATAGCCTGTCATGTTAAAAACAGTCCAACTACAGCTCAAACCCTGCATTTTATTTACATTGCTTCACCTCCACCTTCATCTAGCTGTATTTAAATGAGCTAGATGTCAAAACCCCTTAAGAAACTCATTGGAGCAGGTGAGCCTGAATTCAAATTAGGCTTGTTGGTCATTAACCAAAAATTTCAGTCTATCAAAGCAGATGCCAGTTAAATATAGAGGTTTTGATATACCAATGTATCTTTAAATGTGCTTTCAAAATGAACTAAAACTAGTAGAAAAAATGCTTTAACTGTGCATAGCTGTGGATTATACTTACTGAGTTTGCTCATGCAGTTTCGTAGGCGACTGTCCAGGCTGAGCACTCTCTGATAGAGCTGCTCGTAGTCATAAGCTCCCAGCTCCTCCTGGATGCCCGTCAGCACAGCAGACAGATTCCTGATTTCCTCTTTGAACTGAGAGATCAGCTTAGCATCTGTTTTATACTGCTCTAGCACAGGAATCAATGGCTGGAGTTCATCCATACGATCTTTCAGCTCCTGTAGACACACACCCACACAGATATTGTTATGCTTCACACATTGCTCCCAATAAACAATGTTTAGCCATAAAACGCATTCCATTATGTAGTTATAGTGAAATTCTATTATACATATATTTCACCATTTGACATAACACATGCAATATTCATGGATAATGCTGATGTTTGCATTTCCAGCAGCAGGTCTTTTGTAACCTAATAAAAGCATACCTTAAAGTTTCTAGCCATTATAGTTTTCCTGTCCTCTTCAATTTGCCGGAACTTCGTCCGTAACCCTTTCATTTGATTTTCCATTTTCATGACATACTGGAAATCGCGCTGCGTGCGCAGATTCAGGACTTCAATTGATTGAGACATATTCTGCACCTGCAAGTCAAGAAGTTAGACAAAACAGCAAAGAAATAAACAGCATAACCAATTTCAACATTGCTAATAATAAGCAATGTTTATTGAGCAGCAAATCAGTATTAGAATGATTTCTGAAGGACCATGTGACTCTAAAGACTGGAGTAATCATGCTGAAAATCATCACAGGAATACATTTTATTTTAAAAAATATTAAAACAGAAAGTAGGTATTTTAAATCGTAATAATATTTCACAATTTTAATGTTTTTATTGTATTTTTAATTAAATAAATGCAGCCTTGGTGAACATAAGACGCCTCTTTTGTACTGTCCCCAAACATTTGAACTGAATTGTAGATGTAAATTAATCCATGATATTTGCACTTTTGTACCAGTAAACAATTATCCATAGACATTTTCAATTAATGGTACTTTTTTGTTTGTTTTGTTCCTTGACAGCAACTGGTCACCATTTTTATGAAAAACAATACGTTATTTGGGCGTGATGAGGGTGAGTCGATGAATTTATTATTTTTGTGATCTATCATTCCACCTCAGCAGGTCTGCATAAGACGTAATGGGAAGCACTTTCCAAAGACACATTTCTTTGCATAAGTTATGGATAAACTGACTACAATTAATGAATCTTTAAAAAGGGGCTGATAAAAAAAAAACCCTAAACAGTCGCTCCAATCTCACTGTGTTTGTCCCCGTCAAACGGTCTGATTAGCTACCTTGACTGGGGCGCGAGAAAAGCGAAGTCCATGAATCATGAATGAGATGCGTCCTCTGTGGGCCCCGACTTTCTTTTCAGGCTATAGGGAAAATGGAGGCGTTAATAAATGTACATATCAATATTAACGGCAGTCAGGCTCCCGTTGGATTGAGGCATGTATCATTTATCATAAAATCAGGTATTAATGACCTGCATAAAATCAGCCTCTTGCGAACACAGTTGAAGCATCTATCAGCGCTTTTTTTTTTAAACTTGTGTGCATGTGTGTTTAAAGGTCCTAATTGGGAATGAGACTGATAAAAGAGGATAAAAACTGATGGAGGAGGGGAATATGTAATGTGTGACTGAAAGACTGAGTGAAAGGACAAGTATGTGTGTGTGTGTGTGTGTATGTCAGTATTAGTGGCAGGCTTCAGTAGCTCCTGAAATGTGTCAGTCCCTGAGGCAAAACAGTACATTAGTTGTCCACACAATATATACTAGCCAAATGATGCCTGTGTGTGTTGAAAGAAAGAACAGAAAGCATGAAGAAATGCTTCATGAGAAAAAATCCTGTGCTATTACTAGGCTTTGCGATATTTTGAATATGCAAATTATTTTAGCAATATAAAACTAAGAAACAATGTGAATATCATGATTTTAATGTGTTGTTTTTTAGGCCATTAAGGGCCAAATTTACTAAACAGGGCAAATTAGCGTTAGAGCGCAATTCCATAAAAGTGCCATTGGGAGGGGAACACAGATGCAGCCAGATCATTTCCATAATGACCAGGGCAATCTACCTCAAATTACTGCCTACTTTTTTTGGGGTGATAAATAATGGCGCAAATACCAGTCATTTGACTAGCGCAAACATTAGTAAATGATGTTGCGTGATTCATTTTAATACTCTCCTCCCATAAATTATGCATCTGAAATGGAAACTCCTCCAAATGCTCAATCAATAAGGTCAGGCGCAAAAATAACTGTGTCCATGCCTTTTCAGTGCTAATTCTTCACTGCACGTCTTAAATCCTGACAGTATTGTTTTAATGCCAAAAGACGGATTGCATTGGCGCAAGCTGTTAGTAAATCCGGCTGTAAGTTTCCAAAAGACCGTCCCAGTAGGCTAGTTTTTTCACCCTTTCATGAGTATGAGAAGATTAAGACAAATATTCTGTGACAAGAGGGGCGGGGCCGAGAGCCGTGGGACTCGAGACCGGTGAGTGGCGCAGGCTCTCGGCCCCGCCCCTCTCATCACATATTCTAATAGCATTAAATATCTTAAGTATTCAGTTGCAAATAACTCATTAGAGTTGTAAGTTTGATTCATTGTGTCTATATATGCACTATACCGTTCAAAAGTTTGAGGTCAGTCAAAATTTTTGTAAGTAAGAAGCATCTTTTGCACAACAAGGCTGCATTTATTTGATCAAAAATACAGTAAAACAGTAATAATTTAAAATATTAAAATAACTTTATTTTATAGTAAGTTATATAATGTAATTTATTCCGGTCAAACCTGAATTTTCAGCACCATTAATCTAGTCTTCAGTGTTACATGATCCTTCAGAAATCATTCTAATATGCTGATTTACTGCTCAAGAAACATGTATTATTATCAATGTTGGAAAAAGTTGTGCTGCTTAGTAATTTTGTGGAAACCATGATACATTTTGTTCAGGATTCGGCTCTCGGCCCCGCCCCTCTCATCACATATTCTAATAGCATTAAATATCTTAAGTATTCAGTTGCAAATAACTCATTAGAGTTGTAAGTTTGATTCATTGTGTCTATATATGCACTATACCGTTCAAAAGTTCGAGGTCAGTCAAAATTTTTGTAAGTAAGAAGCATCTTTTGCACAAGGCTGCATTTATTTGATCAAAAATACAGTAAAACAGTAATAATTTAAAATATTAAAATAACTTTATTTTATAGTAAGTTATATAATGTAATTTATTCCTGTCAAACCTGAATTTTCAGCACCATTAATCTAGTCTTCAGTGTTACATGATCCTTCAGAAATCATTCTAATATGCTGATTTACTGCTCAAGAAACATGTATTATTATCAATGTTGGAAAAAGTTGTGCTGCTTAGTAATTTTGTGGAAACCATGATACATTTTGTTCAGGATTCTTTAATAAATAGAAACTATTTATTTGAAATAGCCTAGAATTATTTGGTTTCCATGTAAAAGTATTTACTGTCACTTGATCCATTTTATGCATTTTATTTTTTGCTATTTCTTTAAAAAGAAGCTTTTGAATGGTAATGTATGTATATACTACACATATTTTTCTCCAGTATACAGTGTGATTGAGATATACAGTATATGATATACATAAAAATCAGTCAAATGTGTGTTTATGCATGATACCTTCTCCAGCAGCTGTCGGAGCTGTCTGCTCTTGGCATCCCTGGAGCAGAGGTTTTGTTCCGGTGCAACCACAGTGCAGATACAGCGTCCGTCAGCATCCTGTGCCGAACTATACACCTGCCATCCTTCCTTGGGACCAATCGTCTGCAGAGACACACACATACACTTTAAAAGACTAGTTCACCCCCAAAAAAAGGACAATTTTGTCATCATTCACTCATCCTGATGTCTTTCCAAAACAATATGATATGACTTTGACATTATGACACTCTTCTGCTTGAAAGAGAAGACTGTTTTCCATATTCTTTTCCATGCAGTTACAAAGAACAGGGACATCAACTTAAAAGTACTTTGGAGAGGTCCATGTGCCATTTTCACCTTATTCCAAAGTCTTCTTAAGTTGTACAGTAGCTCTGGGCAAAATGCAGACAGGAATTTACATGTATTATTTACTAAATAAATAATGAATTAATAAATTATCATCATTACTACTACTAATAAAAGTGATAATTATTTTTAGTATTATTAATATTACCACCAATAATAATAAATTTGGCATTATTATTTACTTGTAATCTTCACCAACAATTAATGTTATGACCATATCAGTTAGCATGTTAGTTTGATTCCTAATTAAACTGGATCAGGTGTTTCATCGAAAAGATCCAAATCAAAAAATTCTTTGTTTATGGATTGGACAATGCTACTTGTCATGAAAATACCAAGGAAAACTAGGGCAGATGTCAAGATTTTCAGTGAATTTCCATCTATTTGTTGCACAAAGCCATGGACACACAGCAGCACACAAACATGACAAATATAAAAAATTAAAGGATTGTAATGTTGTGTAGGCTTCATAATTATAAAAATGCCTACATGTCATAATGGATAGTCACTGCATGTAGCAGAATTAGGCTACTTATTTGCTCGCGCATGAGCAGCTCCGTTTCATCTCTGGAGATGCGTTTTGTCTTTGCGCTTGCGAATTCCGCCGTGTAAATAGCAAATCCGCCATGGCACGAGCGCAACTGGCTCTTAAAAGGAATGGGAGATGAGACTCCGATTGGTTTATGGCATGTTACGCCCAAAAAACACCCATTACTCATTAAAAGGGGTCATATGATGTTGCTAAAAAGAACATTATTTTGTGTATTTGGTGTAATGAAATGAAAAAGCAATGAGACAAAAATAATAAAATCCATTATAAATGAGGCATTTTTTGCATTCAGTAGGGACATAATTATGGATTATAATTACTTATACTGTCTTTTTAGGTGCTGCGTTGCATCGCGCCGCATAAACATAAAACCATGTCTGCATTTGTGATCGGAGAAATTACAAACAACAAGCGCTACTCTACACTGCTCAAAACTCACGTTTGAATCATCAGTGGCAAATCCTTTAAATATGAAAACATACTTACAGATTGTGAGCCAGCATTATTTGTCAGAACAGCTGGCATTGTAGTATATTCTCCCAGGAAACAGTCCTTCATAAAATGCGCTGCACATGCTGGGTTGAACTGTTCGGGAACAGTGTTGTAAATACAACTTAACCACTGATTTCTAGTCGTGTCCTCTTTTGGAAGGCCAAACAAAGTATTTTCGCTTTTGCAACGAAACACACAGCATCTTCACAACATGGCGGCAGCGGTGGCAGGCGCTCTGACCCCCATAGGTGACGGGAGGCCAGAGGACTCGTAGGCTCGTGAGATGGCCTCGACCACTCAAAATCTCTGGAAATCTCTTCTTTGGTGAACCAAAACAAACAAAAAGCTGATCTGCCTTACGCTACGGGGCAGCTCTGTGTGCGTAAGCGTCCAGTGCTCGAACTGGACAGAGCAGATTAAGCCTTCTTGGCCTACTTCCTGGTACGGAGGAGGACAGAATGCCTTAAGTACTATGGGCCCTGGTGAAGAAGTGGGCACCTTAGGGACATACCCGGCCCTCGGGTAAAGGAATGCCCTAACCATGACTAGAGCAAATTCCAGGCACGAAACAGAAAGTGCCTGAAGATCCTCTATTTTTTTTAGTGAGGAAATAGCGAGGAGAAAGATGGTCTTGAGCCTGAGCAACTTGACCGAAACTTGTTCTATGGGTTCAAAGGGGGCATTGCATAAGCCCTCTAGAACCACAGCCAGGTCCCATGAGGGCACCTTGGTGCGCTGTACCGGCCTCAGCCTCAGGGTGCCACGGAGGAAACGAGTGACAAGTGGGTGTCTTCCCAATGATAGACCACCCAGAAGGGCGTGGTAAGCAGCTAAGGCCGCCACGTATACCTTCAGAGTGGAGGGAGATAACCCTGCGGAGAATCGCTCCTGCCGAAACTCCAGACTGCAGAAACTCCAGAACTGTACCAATTGGGCAGTTGACTGGGTCCTGCAGTCGCTGTCCGCACCATGAAGTGAAAAGTTTCCACTTCAAGGCGTACTGTTTCCTAGTGGCGGGAACTCTGGACTGTAGTATAGTCTCAACAACCTCAGTTGAGAGACCAGATGCTAGGAGCTGTGCCCCCTCAGGGGCCATGCCCACAGCTTCCATAACTCCGGGCGGGGGTGAAAAATGGCTCCCCCTGCCTGAGAGAAGAGGTCCCTTCTGATAGGACTCATGACCTCTCCCCAGCCCGTGAGAGAGGCATCCGTCGTTAGCGTTACGCGACAAGGAGCCCCTAACGTTGGGCCTTGAACCAGGAACCAACGTTTCTT